AAGTGTAACACAGATCAGTAAGCGATTCTTTTACGCTAGTTCCGACATGATGCAAACATAGTGTTTACATGTTGGAACTAGTGTGAACAAATCGCTTACTGGTCTGTGTTATCGCTAATCATTCAGCTTTGCTCTTATGGCCATGTAGAGCTGGTAAACATGCCAGCAAATTTGGCATGACACACCAGAAAGTGGATCCAACTAGAACTGTAGTCACGTCACTAAAAGATTATTCTAGATGCTTTCCAGATCGAATAATAAACTGCTTCTGGAGCTCTGGGCAGGTTTATTTCTTCTGCAGAGGTGTTGATGTAACAGTGATGAAAGTCTTTTGTGGTAATGGACGTGATGCCACACATGCCATCGACAGAGCTCAGCCCGCAGCTTTCCTTCAAACGCTGATGGGTTCCTGTCCAGCGTTCATTGTCCCGGTGAATGAGGTTTGAGAAACAGCTTTTGTCCTTGATGTTTTTGTCAGCATGAGTCTAAACTGCATCCTTCCTCTGTGCAGGTGCGCTGCATGTTAAACATATGGGGCGTGATGCTCTTCATTCGAATGACATGGATCGTGGGCCAGGCTGGAATTGGTAGGTTTGACTTTGGTCGGCCTTGTGAATTAGCACTTCAATTCACAAGCACACTCTTGTGTTTTCTATCGAGCTGCAGTCATTTCTCATGCACATGCTAAATGTGGCTGTGAGGCACTGAGCAGTCAGCTCCAACACTGGAAATGTACTGCAGACCGCAAACGGCTAGTGTTTAGTGCTGAACTTGAGAACAATGAGTCGTTTCACCTTTTTATTTCCACAGCGTATTCCTGCATCATTGTTATTATGGCAACTGTTGTGACTACCATCACGGGCTGCTCGACCTCAGCGATCGCCACCAATGGCTTTGTACGAGGAGGTAATTAAAAAATACAAATGAAATGTGCACTGGCACCGTATGCATTGGCGCAAAGACCAATCAAAGGGTCCCTGTGGTGGAACTGTCACACACACAAATGAGACAATGTGGATAAATGCTAATATTCTATAAACATTCAATTGTTTACTGTACACAAGTGATCCTAAGAGGGTTGACATTTTAAGCTCATCAACGGGCAGATGTAAAACACAACAAACAATAGAATGAAGACTTTTATTTGCCTGAGGGGACATTCAGTAGAGTGTTCAGAGATGGCAGTGTTTTTCTCTCAGGCCATTGAGAGGTTCATTGGCAGTCTGGAAGTCAGAAATGGATAGCTGTCCCTCTCTACAGGCCTTCATCTGAGAGACGGGGTGATGGCACTAGATAACATTTTTTGTTTCAGTGTGGAAGTGAATCAATATTTTTCCATGAGCACCTCAGGTGTTAGTTATTAACCCAGTCACGGGAGTGTGTGTGTGAGATTGGGTTTCCCTGTTGAAAAAAACAGCATATGCTGGTTAGGTATGTTATGAAGCATGGCAGCTGGTTTGAACTGGTTTAAATTGGTCCTTAGGAACCAGCTCAGACCAGCTTCCAGGCTTCAAAACATACCTAACCAGCATATGCTGGTTTTTTCAACAGGGTTGTTTGAGATCCTCAATGATATTTAGCTGTCACTGCCACTCTTTTCAGTTATAGTTTAGAGAACCGCTTTCTCACACTCATCGGAACATTATATTCAGTACTCTACATATTTCGTTTTTCAGCACTGCATGCTGGTTTTTTGATGTGTGTTTGTGCTAATGCTTCCCATCACTGAGGTGTGTAGCCGTTAATCTGAGATTAGGCTAATCTTACCTGGTATTTCAGTCATTTGTTAATACTCACACACACTTTCATAAATAAGATAGAGCATTTAACACTCACTCAAGGCGATCTGTACTCGATCTGTGCACATTTCTCATCCCTGATTATTAGGAAAATCTTTAGACTAGGCTTTAATATGGGAAGATGTTTCAGCATAGCTGAGAGTACTGCTCTGTTATTGGTTACTTGACCCGTTATAATCTTATCCACAGGGGTACCTCAGGGTTTAGTGCTGGGCCCGTTCCTCTTCCCACTGTATCACTGGGACACGTCATTTTGACACACAATGGATTGGTCTACCGCTGCTATATCCACAACACGCACTGCTTTCCTTTTTACTCCTGCTTGCCAATAGTCGAATTAGCCTAAATTATTCAACCGTTTATTCAGAAACCTCTCAAAATTCAGCTAACATGAAGAACAAACACAAGGGCAGGATGAGAGAGTTTGTGAATGATTTGAGTTCAGTGGAAGACTAATTTGTCAGAGTCTTGTGTCCACAAACTGAGGTCAAAGTTGGCAAGTGATGAACCGCTCTTGGATAAAATACCAAAATAATATGATTTTCAGAATATTTCGAATGATGCTGCAGGATAACCAATAAATCAGCCTTGAATTGTCTTTTCAGAAAGGTGATCTGTTTAATATCTTTTCTTCAGGTGGAGCGTATTACTTAATATCTCGAAGTTTGGGCCCAGAGTTCGGCGGCTCCATTGGTCTGATTTTTGCCTTTGCCAACGCTGTGGCCGTGGCCATGTACGTCGTGGGCTTTGCAGAAACTGTAGTTGAGCTGCTCATGGTAAGAGACACAATTCGGTTTTCTCTTCTGTTGCTTAGTTTGTTTTAATATGATGGTGTGTAGATGGAATAATCGTATGTGTTTGTGTCCATTTAGAATTCTGGTGCGCTCATGTTCGATGAGATTAATGACGTCAGGATCATTGGGACCATTACGGTCATCCTGCTTCTCGGCATCTCAGTGGCTGGAATGGAGTGGGAGGCCAAGGCAGGAGATTCACTGGATATTCAGTTATCTTTGAACATCAGCCAGTGCTGACCTTATGAAATCACGATTTTGTTTCGCAGGCTCAAATATTCCTCTTGGTCATTTTGATTATTGCCATCTTCAACTACTTCATTGGGACCTTCATTCCTGTTGAGTCCAAGGAGAAATTTGGCTTCTTCGGCTATGACGGTAAGAATGTGCTCTTAAATTCATCTAGACTCACAGAAAACAATGCTGCATGTATATGATAAACTGCTATGAACTGGTATTTATTTATTTTTAATGTAAAAGTGTGTGTCAAATCAAACTCTATTGTGTTTAGTAAACATGATTTGTGCAGAACACAGTGTTATGTGCTGTGAATTACTCACTGGCGAGAGAAGGAAACCTTAAAAATTCAAAAGATGGAAACTACAAAGGCAAGGCTTCTGAGATTTGCTCGTTTTTCATGGTGTAATATTAATACATTTTAATTTAACAATAGATCTTGATCGCTGCCTGATGTCCAAATTAAAACTTGGGCCTTAAAAGAAAACTAGTTAAGAACAATAGTTCAAGATTGTCCAAGGCCACTGGTAATGTTTTTATGTGACTTGAGTTTTGAGTTTAAATATTAGCAGTTGTTTTCTCTTTATTCATTCCTGTTTTGTTTTCTGTATCGGACTTCTTGGCTTTTTAGTGGGCATCTTGGCGGAAAACTTTGGCCCAGACTTTCGAGGGCAGACGTTTTTCTCCGTTTTTTCCATCTTCTTCCCGGCTGCCACAGGCATTTTGGCTGGTGCCAACATCTCAGGAGATCTAGCAGTGAGTGTCGGCAATCATTTCCTCACCACATATTCTTCATCAGAGGTTCTCTGTAATTGTTTAATTTCTCCAAGGACCCTCAAATGGCCATCCCTAAAGGAACGCTGCTGGCTATTCTCATAACGGGACTCGTGTACATGGGTGTGGCCATTTCCGCAGGTAAACTCTTCTAGAATCTCCTATCGTTTTGATTACTACTGTGTTATGTTCCTCTGATGTATTGATTGAATTGTTGAAAGGTGCTTGCATCGTGCGGGATGCTACAGGAATCGAGAGTAACATGACTCTCAGTGGTTCAAACTGCACTGATGCGGCCTGTAAGCTCGGCTACAACTTCACTTCCTGCGGACCTGTTGAAGGAGGGAAGTCTGCCTGCAAGTTCGGCCTCCACAATGATTTCCAGGTACATCATCAACACGGCCTTTTCCTACATTATCACTCTGTTCTGAATCCTAGTGAGCATCCTGAGCCGCATTTTAAGGCATTATGCAAAGGCTGTTCCACATAGACTCCAAAATGCAGCATCCAGGGATTCAAGCAGAGCAGTCACATGATCACCCTTCAGAGTATCTCACCAGGCTTTACTTTACATTTGTGTCATTTTGTGTGAGTTTCATTATCAGCATGCTAATGTCAAACTCTGTTGGAATCGGTTGTAAAAGGAGTCTTCCCTGTGGTTCACGCTTTCAGGCTGTAAACAGCATTTTAGACTCAACACATTATGATTTGGTAGAAAAAGGCCGTGTTTGTGTGTGAAGGATGTGTGGCTGAATGTCTTGTTCTGCAGGTCATGAGTGTGGTGTCAGGTTTCGGGCCCCTCATCACGGCGGGCATCTTCTCTGCGACCCTCTCCTCTGCCCTGGCTTCTCTCGTCAGCGCCCCCAAAGTCTTCCAGGTGGGCGTCTCGTCTGCTGCTTCATGTTCGAGACAGCCGTGTGTTTTAACATGTGTGGTTTCGCTCCAGTGCTTGTGTGAGCTCAGAGATGTTGGAACAGGTCTTGCTGGTTTGATGATTTCTCCCATTTCCTCAGGCTTTATGCAAAGACAATATCTACCCTGGAATTGCATTTTTTGGGAAGGGCTACGGCAAGAACAACGAGCCCCTGCGAGGATATTTGCTCACCTTTGGCATTGCCTTGGCCTTCATTGTCATTGGTAGGATCTCGACAAATTGAGTTCTTTAATTGGTAGAAATCTTTGCTGAATTAAATAATCAGATTGGTTGATGAGATCCCCTCACTCTTACACATGCTTGTTTTTAATTTCTCCAGCGGAGTTGAATGTCATCGCCCCGATCATTTCCAATTTCTTCCTGGCCTCATACGCTCTCATCAACTTCTCGGTGTTTCACGCGTCGCTGGCCAATTCCCCTGGTAAGACGTTCCTCCACTGTACGGTTGGGGTGAATTCATTCTGTAGACAAGCTGGGTCACGTCTCCACAGAGAGCTCAAATATCATTAGTGTCAGGATGGTACGCAACACCCCAGCCCACGTGACGGGTTTACACAGATGTTAAGTGCAGAGCAGACCACTTTCCATGAATGGGTTACAGAAGGGCCTTTGAAACTGATATTTTGTTCATTTGAAGGTCAGTGAAATCAGCTGCTTAACCTTCAAACATGCTTATCATCCACCACAGGAAGTGAAACTAAATGTTCGTCCATGTATGCATGCATGAAGTTGAAACCCTCTTGCTAAATTATAGGGTTACTTCTATAAACCCCTGATTTGTGATTAGTAGTGGTTGACCGATATATCGCCACCGGCCGATAAGTTTTTCTGTTTGGCCGATGTGTTCGAGGCGGGACACAGCGCTCACATTCTCTCTCGTCATTGTTTGTTGTCACAGTTTAACAGTTCTGTCTGATCTAATAGGTCCGTCTAATAATCAGATAGAACTGTTAAACAAAACAAGCATTCAGCAAATACGCATTTGTCGTTGACACATTTCACCAAGTACAGCATGATCCTGGATCAACATCCCAATCAACCAATCAGAATTGAGGGATATGCTTACAGGAAATGTCAGTTTTAGGCTTACAGTCAGAGTTTCTTGTCACTCACCTATCATTTCCCTCTGATTTTAGGAATAAATTATGATCTGTCTGTCTGTCTGTCTATCTCGGCTTTTTAATTTGTCTAGTGTGATCGCACCGTGCGCAGTTCGTTTGTCTAGTGTGATCGCTCTGTGCGCGGTTCGTTTGTCTAGTGTGATCGCTCCGTGCGCGGATCGTTTGTCTAGTGTGATCGCTCCGTGCGCGGATCGTTTGTCTAGTGTGATCGCTCCGTGCGCGGATCGTTTGTCTAGTGTGATCGCTCCGTGCGCGGATCGTTTGTCTAGTGTGATCGCTCCGTGCGCGGATCGTTTGTCTAGTGTGATCGCTCCGTGCGCGGATCGTTTGTCTAGTGTGATCGCTCCGTGCGCGGATCGTTTGTCTAGTGTGATCGCTCCGTGCGCGGATCGTTTGTCTAGTGTGATCGCTCCGTGCGCGGATCGTTTGTCTAGTGTGATCGCTCCGTGCGCGGATCGTTTGTCTAGTGTGATCGCTCCGTGCGCGGATCGTTTGTCTAGTGTGATCGCTCCGTGCGCGGATCGTTTGTCTAGTGTGATCGCTCCGTGCGCGGATCGTTTGTCTAGTGTGATCGCTCCGTGCGCGGATCGTTTGTCTAGTGTGATCGCTCCGTGCGCGGATCGTTTGTCTAGTGTGATCGCTCCGTGCGCGGATCGTTTGTCTAGTGTGATCGCTCCGTGCGCGGATCGTTTGTCTAGTGTGATCGCTCCGTGCGCGGATCGTTTGTCTAGTGTGATCGCTCCGTGCGCGGATCGTTTGTCTAGTGTGATCGCTCCGTGCGCGGATCGTTTGTCTAGTGTGATCGCTCCGTGCGCGGATCGTTTGTCTAGTGTGATCGCTCCGTGCGCGGATCGTTTGTCTAGTGTGATCGCTCCGTGCGCGGATCGTTTGTCTAGTGTGATCGCTCCGTGCGCGGATCGTTTGTCTAGTGTGATCGCTCCGTGCGCGGATCGTTTGTCTAGTGTGATCGCTCCGTGCGCGGATCGTTTGTCTAGTGTGATCGCTCCGTGCGCGGATCGTTTGTCTAGTGTGATCGCTCCGTGCGCGGATCGTTTGTCTAGTGTGATCGCTCCGTGCGCGGATCGTTTGTCTAGTGTGATCGCTCCGTGCGCGGATCGTTTGTCTAGTGTGATCGCTCCGTGCGCGGATCGTTTGTCTAGTGTGATCGCTCCGTGCGCGGATCGTTTGTCTAGTGTGATCGCTCCGTGCGCGGATCGTTTGTCTAGTGTGATCGCTCCGTGCGCGGATCGTTTGTCTAGTGTGATCGCTCCGTGCGCGGATCGTTTGTCTAGTGTGATCGCTCCGTGCGCGGATCGTTTGTCTAGTGTGATCGCTCCGTGCGCGGATCGTTTGTCTAGTGTGATCGCTCCGTGCGCGGATCGTTTGTCTAGTGTGATCGCTCCGTGCGCGGATCGTTTGTCTAGTGTGATCGCTCCGTGCGCGGATCGTTTGTCTAGTGTGATCGCTCCGTGCGCGGATCGTTTGTCTAGTGTGATCGCTCCGTGCGCGGATCGTTTGTCTAGTGTGATCGCTCCGTGCGCGGATCGTTTGTCTAGTGTGATCGCTCCGTGCGCGGATCGTTTGTCTAGTGTGATCGCTCCGTGCGCGGATCGTTTGTCTAGTGTGATCGCTCCGTGCGCGGATCGTTTGTCTAGTGTGATCGCTCCGTGCGCGGATCGTTTGTCTAGTGTGATCGCTCCGTGCGCGGATCGTTTGTCTAGTGTGATCGCTCCGTGCGCGGATCGTTTGTCTAGTGTGATCGCTCCGTGCGCGGATCGTTTGTCTAGTGTGATCGCTCCGTGCGCGGATCGTTTGTCTAGTGTGATCGCTCCGTGCGCGGATCGTTTGTCTAGTGTGATCGCTCCGTGCGCGGATCGTTTGTCTAGTGTGATCGCTCCGTGCGCGGATCGTTTGTCTAGTGTGATCGCTCCGTGCGCGGATCGTTTGTCTAGTGTGATCGCTCCGTGCGCGGATCGTTTGTCTAGTGTGATCGCTCCGTGCGCGGATCGTTTGTCTAGTGTGATCGCTCCGTGCGCGGATCGTTTGTCTAGTGTGATCGCTCCGTGCGCGGATCGTTTGTCTAGTGTGATCGCTCCGTGCGCGGATCGTTTGTCTAGTGTGATCGCTCCGTGCGCGGATCGTTTGTCTAGTGTGATCGCTCCGTGCGCGGATCGTTTGTCTAGTGTGATCGCTCCGTGCGCGGATCGTTTGTCTAGTGTGATCGCTCCGTGCGCGGATCGTTTGTCTAGTGTGATCGCTCCGTGCGCGGATCGTTTGTCTAGTGTGATCGCTCCGTGCGCGGATCGTTTGTCTAGTGTGATCGCTCCGTGCGCGGATCGTTTGTCTAGTGTGATCGCTCCGTGCGCGGATCGTTTGTCTAGTGTGATCGCTCCGTGCGCGGATCGTTTGTCTAGTGTGATCGCTCCGTGCGCGGATCGTTTGTCTAGTGTGATCGCTCCGTGCGCGGATCGTTTGTCTAGTGTGATCGCTCCGTGCGCGGATCGTTTGTCTAGTGTGATCGCTCCGTGCGCGGATCGTTTGTCTAGTGTGATCGCTCCGTGCGCGGATCGTTTGTCTAGTGTGATCGCTCCGTGCGCGGATCGTTTGTCTAGTGTGATCGCTCCGTGCGCGGATCGTTTGTCTAGTGTGATCGCTCCGTGCGCGGATCGTTTGTCTAGTGTGATCGCTCCGTGCGCGGATCGTTTGTCTAGTGTGATCGCTCCGTGCGCGGATCGTTTGTCTAGTGTGATCGCTCCGTGCGCGGATCGTTTGTCTAGTGTGATCGCTCCGTGCGCGGATCGTTTGTCTAGTGTGATCGCTCCGTGTGCGGTTCGTTTGTCTAGTGTGATTGCACCGTGCGCGGTTCCTTTGTCTAGTGTGATCACACCGTGCGCGGTTCGTTTGTCTAGTGTTATCTAGTGTGATCGCTCGGTGCGTGGTTCGTTTGGCTAGTGTGATCGCACCGTGCGCGGTTCGTTTGAGTAGTGTGATCGCTCGGTGCGTGGTTCGTTTGTCTAGTGTGATCGCACCGTGCACGGTTCGTTTGTCTAGTGTTATCTAGTGTGATCGCTCGGTGCGTGGTTCGTTTGGCTAGTGTGATCGCACCGTGCGCGATTCGTTTGGGTAGTGTGATCGCTCCGTGCGCGGTTCGTTTGTCTA